AGGCCCCACAGCCCGGCAGGCGCTTAGGCCTGCTCGTCCGGCCCGGGGGCGGGTCGCGGGGCGGGTGGGGCACGGCGGGCGGCAGGCCGGAGACCCAGCGGCCCGACTCCCGTTCGCGCGCTGGGCTGTCACTGCGAGTCCGAGGGTGTGGTGCCGGCGCGTCCCTCCCGGAATCCCAGGATGGGAATGAAAATGGAGAGTTTGTGCCTGAGCGACGGGCGGGCCAGCCGCCTGCTCGCCTGGAGAACGCCCCGTGGGAGATTGCGGGCGGCTTGCCTCTGGCCCTTCCCACCCTCCCCGCCCACTGTGCCCCTCAGCTCGACGCGACACGCACCTGCCACATGCAGCTCGCCTTCTTTCTCTTCTGGACAGCATTGGAGGGTAACGTGAGACCTGGCCTAGCGTGGGCCTGATCGTGGGACTGACACTTACTGGCAAAGTCAGCTGAGAAGGAAGATATTACTCACTGTTGGAAACTTTTTTTAAAATTAAAAATGCGTTTTCCCCTCCAAGCTCCAGTACCTTATTTTAGCTATCCAAGAATAAAATCACTGTAAGCTTTATCAAATGGTATACACTTCAGTTTTTGCCAGTGCTTTCTTTATTTGAAGTCTGAAAAACCTTGATAATAAGAATGTTAGAAAGCTGTAAATGTTTTGTTTAGGAATCAGTCCCTAGAATAACATGATTAAAATCTCTTTTTAAGTAATAGTTACTGTACTGAAGTTTTTTCATACCTTTTCCCTCTTTGATAGACTGATGGAGTGTAACAAAGTATAAATGATGGAAATCTAGATGTCAACCCCCTTAGTTGGTTACCTAGTGAGTACAATAGCTAGAGAAATTAGTGAATTTGTAGTATTTACTCAAGGCATGTATGTGTCAAAGAGTTGAGTCATTCATTATATAGAAAGGGAGTGTTGCTTCTGCACAGCTTTTCTGAAATGTTGAAGTCATGTGAGACTGGGTCATATATTCTGGGAGAAATATTTAACTTTTATATCTCACTCGCTGTATTAACACTTTGATTTTCTGCAGTGGTTTTGTCTTGATAAATACTGATTTGGAGCAGCAAGGGCATGCCCTTTGCTCTCCCCATCATTTCCTTTGTTCAACAGTGAAGACATCTGGCCAGGCACCAGTGGTGCGTGTCTGTAATCCCAGCAACTGGGGAGGCTGAGGCAGGAGAATCACAAGTTGGAGGCCAGTCTCAGTAATTTAACAAGGCCCTATGCAAGTTAGCGAGACCCTGTCTCAAAATAAAAAATTAAAAGGGCTGGGGATGTGGCTCAGTGGTAAAGCAAGACTGGGCTCAGTCCCTAGAACCAATAAACACACACACACACACACACACACACACACACACACAAACCAGTAAAGACATCTATCTGTGCATGACTTATTTCAGTATGTAAGAGATTTTTCTTTTATCAGACCTGGAAGAACTGATTACCTCATGCCTCAGATTATGTTTCTGTCATATTTCTATGAGTGAAAATTATTTTGCCTGTGGTTTGCTTTAAGGTTTATAAATAAAACTGTTCTGATCTGGGAATACTTCTGGTAGTTAAAAGATTAGTTTTCAAGAAATACGGGATGCTGGGGCTCGGATTGTGGCTCAGTGGTAGAGCACTTGCCTTGCAAATGTGAAGCACTGGATTTGATTCTCATCACCGTGTATAAATAAATGAATAAAATAAAGATCCGTCAATCACTAAAAAAATTAAAAAAAAATGGATGCTTTCTAGGACTTTTAGCTTCATGGTGTTGAGCACTGAGGTTATATAAAGATGATTTTTAGTGTCGGTGTGTATATATCAACCCTTAAAGAAGTTTCAATAGAAATGGCAAAATAGGAATTTATTATAGTTTTGCTGAGATGTGATGTCACATCATTTTTGAATAAGTCAGTTGACCGCTGAGTTTCTTAACCTTGGCATTATTGACATCTGTGACAAGATAATTCTTTGTTGTGGAGGCCTGCCCTGTGCAGGACAGTTAGCAGTAGCCCTGGTTTCTGCTCACTAGATGCTCATTGCATTTCCTCAAATCCCTTCCTCTCCTGTGACAACCAAATTTTTCTATAGACTTATACTAAGTATCCTGTGAGAACCACCCTGTTAAATGTATGTGTTCTTCAATAGGAAGGTTTGAAGTGTTTCTCACAGTTAACTTTCTTTTGTTCAGTGTACTTATATTGGGTTTCAGTAAATGCCAGGTATTATGCTAGGAACTGGGAAACCATTTAATAAGATACAACTTCTCCCTTTAGAACTTACAGCCTGATTGGCTGGGGAGGTGGACATTTGAAGTAATTGCAGTGCTACATGGGTCTCTTTGTGGGAGGGTGTTGAGGCAATAAGGAAAAGCTTCAGGGAGTAGAGCATATTTACAGCTCAGGAGGGAAGGGCATGTTGGACAGAGGGAAGGGAAAATGTAAAGGCATGGAGTCAAAGGGAACCTTTGAGAAATTATGCTTTGGATTGGTGGGAGATGAGGCTACTGGTAACTAGGGACCAAATTATGAGAGGACCTACAGTCCCTTTGAAGGAATTCATCTTCTAGATGGGTCAGTGTTAATGCTCAGTATTTAATAGGAACATTTTGATAAATTCTTAAAGCTTGTGATTTTTATTACAATTTAGAGTCTAAAATGCATATTAACTCTGCAGGTAGTATTTACTAACAAGTGTAACTTGAATTTTTAAAATTATGTGACATGGCACCATTTTATTTTATCCTATCCTGATAATGTTATTTTTTGGCATAGGTATTGGGATATATAATTGAAATTGTAGTTGATGATTTAGAAGTTTGAAATGGGCTCCATGTTTTGAAATAATATTGCATTTCTTTAACAGTCTATTTTAAGATGACCTTTTTATTTTAACTAATATATATATTTTTTCTGAACAATGTCCTTTAAATAACATTTGTGAAAGAAGAAAGAGACAAAGTATTTATAATTGATTATAACTCAGAGTATTTGAATGTTACCAATAAGGTCCCCAGGGTACTTTACAGAAATTTGGTTTGTGCTTTTCTTCCTCCTCTTCTTCCTCTGTCTTCTCCTTCTCTCTCATTAGCTAAAAAAGATGTCACTCTGAGACTTCAAAACATCTGGGAAAATAATGATCATGATAATGAGATAGCTCCAATGTGTATATATTCAATATTTTCTTAATAGCTCTATGAAGAATAACCTGAATTTAAAGTTCTTAATGGCCAAAAAGATGGTCAGTATTTGTACCATAGGCAGTTTATAAGCTTCACTGCCATATCTTCAAGAATTTACTGTGATTTAATGGTAGTGTGTTAGATTTCCTTTTGTTGGGAAATGTAAAAAATTCTGCTAAAGAAAGAATGGATTTTTTTTTTTTTTTTGGTGGTGCTTGGGATTGAAAAACTAATTTAATTATTCCATAGTTGTAGAAGTGGAAGGACTTCTTTTATGGACATTAGGTTTGTCTTTCTGATTTTAAAGATGAGGAAATAGAAACTGAATGAAATTAGGTGATTTACCTAAGACAACGTAGTAGATGTCAAAGGCTGCTAGAGAATGGAGCCATATTTTCCAACTCCAAATTAATTTTCCTTTTTCTAGCATCTTCCTTTCCCTTGTCCACCACTGCTTCACTGATGTTGTTAGCACTGTGCTAGTTATTGTGAAGGGTAGAGGATAAATATAAGACCTAACTTGTGCCTCAACTTATGTTGTGCTAAAGTAAATAATAGAGACAATGAAGGTTGTAGTAGTACCAAGAAGGAAAAGTCAGAATGAACTTGTGTGTGACCTTGGGGGATATTGGCTTGAGGTGGGGTTTTAAAGAATGTATGTGATTGAGAGGGGAAGATAAACCTTGCATTGCAGCAAGGAGTTATGGTGTAAAAAAGATTCAGAACTGGAAATGTGTTCATTCCTCCTGCTCTCCCTTCATTAGCATCATACCTGTTAGCAATATTTATAAACTGGTTATGTATTAGATACTGGGGCTATAGCAGCACACATTCTGTACCCTTAAGTAGCTTTAAATCAAGTGCTTTTTAGAGATAGAGGTGTATTTAAAGCAGAAAGAAATTGAGACACAAATTTGCAGATTGTGAAACCTAACATTGTGGAGTTGCTTGATTGCCTAATTCAGCTGTATCCAATGCAGACATGAGTCATGTAAACTAATATTGCTAGTTGTCATGTTTTTTAAAAAAGGAAATAAAATAAAAATGTTGTTTCCTTTAACCATCTTTTTTTTTTTTTTTGGTACCCGGGATTGACCAGGGGCACTTGACCACCGAACCACGTCCCCAGCCCTATTTTGTATTTTATTTAGAGACAGGGTCTCACTGAGTTGCTTAGTGTCTTGCTTTTGCTGAGGCTGGCTTTGAACTCAGAATCCTCCTGTTTCAGCCTCCCCAGCCGCTGGGATTACAGGCTTGTACC